TCCTCCAAGACCAGCGGTGAACGGAGTTCTACCTGCTGATACGAGTACTATATCAGCTTCAAGAGTGCTTTTTTCACCACCAGCAGCTGGCTCGAGTGTTAGCTTCACACCATCTCCAGATGTGTCAACGCCAACAACCTTTGTTTGGAGCATGAACTTCATTTTTTGTTTCTGAAGCATTCGCTGAAACTGTTTCCTGACCTCACCATCCATGGTTGGGACAATATCAGGTGCAAACTCGACAACGGTCACCTCAGACCCGAGGCGGCCCCACACTGAACCCATTTCCAACCCGATATAACCTGCACCAATCACTACAAGTTTCTTAGGGACTTCTTTCAAGGACAGAGCACCTGTTGAAGAGACAATCTTTTTCTCATCGATTGTAACTCCAGGGAGGGATTTGACATCAGAACCAGTGGCGATTATGATGTTTTTCCCCTTGACAACTGTGTTGCTGCCTTCAAGGGTGTCGACAGAAACTTCAGACGGGGAGAGGAATTTTCCGTAACCTTTGACATAACTGACCTTGTTCTTCTTGAAGAGGCCTTCGATACCACGAGTAAGGCCAGAGACAGCTTTGTCTTTCTGGGCCATCATGGCGGGTAGATCGATTTCGAGCTGAGAGAATTTGACTCCATGGTTAGAGAATGCGTGCTTGGCTTCATGATACATGTGGGAGGAGTGAAGTAGAGCCTGGAATTGGAGAAAGAAGAAGTCAGTGTATTTTCTAATGAAAAACTCCTAGAGTGATAGGACCATCACAGTAAATTTTCTTAACAATATAAATTCAAACATAAATTGAGCCTGATCATATTTCCTAGGACCATCAGACTCTCAAGAACCTATGAACTATAGCTTTCATACTAAGCCTTGGCAAGTCATTAAGTAAGTGGTCATACTGCTAAGCAATAAGCTTCATTCCGTATCCCTTACCTATATCTCCAACCATTACATCCTGATACTCAATTCAAATCGACCAAGAAGAAGAAAAATACACAACAAAGTGTAGGAAGATTTAAATTCTTTTGACAACATTGTTTTATTTCTCAACTTCAGGAAAGTTAAAGGATAAGAAAGACGAGAACTATAATAGTAGTTTGGCATCCGGTTGTTTAAAGAGGAAGGACCATTCTATATGACCTTTGTGACTTCAGAATTCAATCATAGGTGACATTTCATTGACAGAAATTACATGTATAATTTCTCTAGATCCTAGTGGACATAAGCAGACCTAATATGCAGTATGAGTCTATCCGATTGAGAAGACAACCATTTTACATGTCTTCATCATGCTTCTCTGGCTCGGACTAGAGTTTAAATAGAGAAATACACAACATATGCCTTCCGGCACCTCTAAGTTTATGATTATTAGACCATATCCTAACTTACATAAATTTAGATCAGAATATTAAACTTGTTAAAATTTTATTAAGGTTAACATCAGACAAGGACTGATGGAAAACATTCTACAACAAAGATAGCATGTTCACTATGCAATAAAATAAGCATAAATGTAGGATTTAATCCTTGTAACGTTTGTTGGATTCAATCTTCATCCCCCAATTACGAGGTCTAACTACAAAACGTTACTTTAGGTTCCTATGCCCACCAGGCAAAAAAGGAAGATACAATCTGAATATAATTACAAGTCACAAAAAATAACTGCAGAACTGCAAAGACATAGCAATGATAAATAAAACAAGTGAATAAGGGCTTACCAACATCTAACCATCAAGGCGTCAACTGCGGCTGCTTAATATATAATCAAAATTGATTTTCTTAGACACAAGGCAACCAACAATATGCATTTATTTTTTTTATGAGAGAACTATCGACAATATTTGACATTAATGATAACTCCAATTATTATTCACATTAAGATAGCTCCACAGATATTACTAACAAAATCTATGAATATTCATTAACCTCAGGAGGCATATTATGGTTCCATCATGAGATTGTGCCAGTGTTCATATATTAGGCTCACATAGCTAAGACTAAGAATAGTGACATGCAAGATGGTCAATATTAATTGATAATATTTAAACTAATAACAACTATAAATTAAATACGTGACAAGAAATGAATACAAAAAATTACAGCAGCTAACACGCCGCCTCTAAAAACAAATCTATAGCGCTTGTTCTTCTGCTATCCTGATCGGTTGACACAAATTTAACTGTCTGCATCAGAAGCAGAAATATTTTGGCACCACAGCTTCTCAAGAAGCAAATACATTTGTTGTGCATCTTTAATAATGATGCATTTTTGGTAATTGAAGTGCTCAATTTTTCTCTAATTTCACATGATTTGTAAACTATTCTTGCTTTCGCACAACTACAAACTCTTCTGAGATATTAAAATTATGGTTTTTATGGGGAGAAAAAAAATTAAGAACCACCAATATTGAGGCATTTCAAACGCGATTAACCCTTTAAAAAAAAGAAAAGATCTCATTTGCCAAGTATCATTCAGTAAAATTGCTATTCAAATTCCAATATAGTTCAATTTGCAATTAAAATATATATCATTAGCTTAACCTTATGTCACTAAAAATTCTAATAAGCAACCCAAACCAATCAATTTAGACCACCACTCCGTCCAAGATTTTACTTCATTTTGTTTTTTTCTAAGTTCCCTTTTTCCCCCTCTCCATCTAATGAAGGACGGAAATTTTTAGCACCCTGACGGTCAAAATCAATCAAGATTGAATCTTTACCCTCCGAGATCTAAAATCAGTAATAATTCAAACAAGAGGGTCGAGAGAGACCTTGGAGGGGATGCAACCGACGTTGAGGCACGTGCCACCGAGTGCCCCACGCTTCTCGATGCACGTGGTCTTGAGCCCCAGCTGCGCCGACCTCCGGCACGCGGAGGAGCACCTGATGAGATCGCCGCTCCTGCGCCTTGCTAGAATCGTCATCGCCATTGCCATTGATCCTTCTGGGGTTCGTTTTGAGAAAGGTCGAGTTTTATTTTGAGAAGGGATGCAAATGGAGTCTTATGCAAATATACTCCTAAATCTTGTTGATATTTGCATAAGGGGTACGCACGTATGACGTATAGGATTATCAGATTGGCTTAATTGCACTCAAGTACTCTATAGTTTCCCCTACTTTATACGCTTGCATACCCTCAACGTTTTTGACAGCATTTATATACCATAAAGTTTTTAAACTTGCACTTAATTATTAAAATTTTAAATTTTACACTTAGATACTCTTAGTTATGCAAACTTGAGGGTATTTAGGTGCGAGTTTTAAAAACTTCTGAGTATTTAAGCGCCAAGTTTTAAGAACTTTAGAGTATTTATGTATAAGTTTTACAGACCTATACATAAAAAGGGTTAACTGATAATCATTACAGCTTTAGGGGTCTTTTCTAAAATAAGCATATATTAACCTTAGATGCCATGTAAAACAAAAACCCAAAATAATAATAATAATAATAATAATCAAAAGAAGGGCAAATCATGACAGGGTGACGAACCCCATTTGCATGTATTTGGTACTACAAATCTGATATTATTTCAACGTTTCCTATAGAGATTAAGTGGTGGTTTTGGACCATTGAATCCAAGAAGATGATGGCCTCAAATGCCCTACCATCATCCTCAATAGTTTACATCCAACCAAAACAAAATCCAAGAAGATTAAGTGGCTTGAAAATCTCTTCCTATCTATATTTTTCACCCCCTTTAAATTTTTTTTTCTTTCGTGTAAAATCATGAGTAATTGCCCGTGTTTCATTTAATAACAATTTAACGAACCAATCCAGAAATTAATATACAGATATTGCCACAACAGCAGCATAGCTAACAAAAATTCAGTAAACTGCAGTAGTTGTTGTACAAACCCCTTCAAAACCATCATATAGCATTTTAAATGATTAGATCATAATGATGCGGCGAAGAGAATTACTTCCAAAATCATGAGATTCGTGATAGGCAATGTGTTTTTTTATTAATTCAGTCCGAAATCGGATCCAAGACTGTGAGAGCTATGTTAGTACATCTTAACCATCCTGATCATCTGTTGTGGGTTATAATGTGTTCTTTTTTCTTTTCTTTCCTTTTTTAACCATTGATTTTGGTTGGAATTTAAAAACAATGATGACAAGTGTTAGCTATGATTAGGCCAATAAAAGGAGGGTTCCATAGTTAAATCGCATTAATCTTTGGTATCATAAAGAAGTGTTTCATACTGTTATTTTAGCGACCGCCATTTTTCCTTATTTTATTGATTATCGATAGGAACTTTCATAGTTCAAATCCGACCAAATTACTCAATGACAAATTTTTGAAAACCAACTCATTTCCCAGCTTATTTATCAAAAACGACTTATTTGAAACTTATTTGTCAAAAACGACTCAGTTTCAGCCAACTGATCGAATCTGAGTCGTTTTTTTGTGAAAAAAATACCAAACTTTACAGGACTAAAATCCCGTAAAATTTGATATATATTTTTAGCTAAAATTAAGTCGTTTTTGACAAATAAGTTTCAAAGAGTTCGTTTCTTATAATTATTTTTGGAGTCAATGACCATTGCGCATCCTAGAGGTCCCCTTTTAGGGTCCCCTTCAGAGTGAGTGCAGATATCTTTGCCCCTCTTCAACCGGCATCATGATCTCTTTCAGCAGCGAGCTCAACAGTCAACAGTCAACAGTGAACACACTTCTTCTTCTCTTTAGATCCTCAAGAAAAACCCTAATTTTTCCCTCCAAACCCCTCAAGATCCCATCTTTTCTCTTCACCGCTCCTAAATTTCCAAACTTTCGCCGTACCCACTTCTCCAAATGCCCTCAAAGCCCTAAGATTTCAAAAGCAGATGAAGAAATGGACCGGTGGAACCCTGATCCTGATCCTCACCCTCACCCTCTTCCTCCGCTACTCTCTCCCCCCTTCCCTCCCCCTCCCCAAGATCAAAGCCCTAGTCCCCAGCTCACCTCCTCTCCCTGGCCTCAGTGAGCTCATCACCCCCAAGTTCACCCACCACCTGACCCCTAACCCTAATCTCATCTGGCCCCACATTCTTCCTCTACTGTCTAGGCCCGATGCACTCCCCGCAACCGCTGACGCGGTCAAAGAGGCCTCCATTGCGTGGAGAGACCTTATGGCATCCGTCAGAGCTGGAAAGGATGCAGATTTGAGCCCGGAGAAGGGAAAAGCTTGCCCTTTTTCAGTGCGTGGGAATGGGAGTGGGGTCGAGATCCCGTGTGGGTTGGTGCAGGATTCGGCGGTGACCGTGGTGGGAGTGCCCGTTGGTTGCGAGGAATGGGAGCAGTAGGTTTGGGTTCGAGCTTGTTGGCGGGGGCAATGACGTGGTGGTTAGGGTTAATGTGAGCATTGAAGGGGATGGGGTGGTTATTGGTCAGAGCTCGAAGAGGGCGGAGAGTGGTTGGGGAGAGTGGGAAATGTGCCCGGTGCACGGAGTGTCTGCCAATAGTAGCATTCTCAAAGGTAAACTTCTTGTGGGTCCTCTTGCGATGCATATTGAATTCGATTGAGTTTGAACTTTACAGTGCTGCTGCTAGTTGTACATGAACATTAAGATTCTAAAAATGGTGAATTTTAGAAGCTGTCTTAAGATCCTACAGTAGCAAAACCTGAATGTTGGCTAGATGAAACCTTAATAGCTTAGTGTGGAGATTGGATTTCATAGGAGATCTTTTAAGCTGCCACTTCAAATTTGAAGTAAATTAAATGTTAAGAGAAGCCGCTGTAAGATCAACGTAGACTGTTTGGTTCTCTTCTTTTATAAAAAAAAGGAATAGGTAAAGAGTGCTAAAATAGCCCATCCAATGGTTTCCATGTGTTTCTTTGAAAAGCCTCTTTTTGTTTGTTTCGGTTTAAAAGAATGGAACACAGTTTGATTCCTCGCCCCCCACCCCCCACCCCCCCACCAACCCAGCCCCAACCCCGCATCCCTCTCCCTCTCTTTGGTTGGGTTGGAAACAAATTTATAGGAAATGAAGCCAATCATCATATTACTTGATGGAGGTGGAAAAGGGGTAGTTGGCATTATTTAATGGGGATTGTCATATTTCACCCCCATTTTGTCATTAAAAACTCGGAAATGGGAACGGATCATTTTCACATGTTTTCTTTCATTTCAAAAAATGTTTTTCTTGAAAATTTTATTTTGTTAATATCTTATCCGCAGCAAGAATCCGTAAGAGATCCTTGTAAGTTCAAATTAGTGTTGTCAATGCGCGAAGCGCAATGCGGGGCGCAAAGCATCTTTACGCGCATATGCACAAGGCGCAACGCGATGCGCGCGCCCGAGTGATGCGAGGCGCCCACCGCACACATAATTTTTTTAATATATGTAATCAAGCGCGAAAGAACATGTTTTTAGAATTTACATGAAAAATATAATGATAAATAATATCTTACTACAAAATCACAATATAATGCCTTAATTTCTAATGCTAACACCCAACATAGTAGCAAAATTCATAAATTTTTAAATCAAATGTTAAATCAAGATTAATATCCAAGCAAAGGATTTGTAATTGTCCTCAATTGAAGGCTATTAAAAAGGCCTAATGGGTTTATTTTCCTTTTTGGGATATGGAATATCAAGTATAAAGACTCGATTGAAATGTTAACAAATAAAACTATATGAGGATATGTACTATATGCACCCTACACAAAATAAGGATGTACGCGAGGCGCAAAAGGCGCTACTGCATCAGATGTGGGGCGCTTCGTCACCGTCCCGCATCGTAAGGCGCATGAGGCGCAATGAGGCGCGCGCCTTTGAAAACACTGGTTCAAATTTGGCCTTTGAAGCAACCATCCTAGTTTGCATGTTGTTGATGTTTTCATCTCAAGGATAAAGGATATGACTTCTTGCAAACTCCGATCTTTGGCACACTTTTAGTTTTCGTTTACTTGTCTCATTTTCATATGAAACCTGGCATTCAGCTGAACTTCAGAGTTTCACTTTGAGCCCTGCATTTATTGCAGTAGAACTGCAACACATAAAATTTTCATTAAAAGATCATAATTTAGGAAATCTTTTTATCTATGCCTTTTACTCCAAAATAAGCCCGTTTTCTCTATTGTTGTAGTAATGGTAGATATGTACTGCTTGTTGATTCCACCAAAAGGTGAGAGTTATAACAATATCTTAGCTCCTCCTTAAAGCAATGGTAGTAAATTTATAATGGTATTAATAACATTAAGCAAGTTGTTGTAAGCACCATATATTAGAATTAGTTTTAAAATTCTAAGAGCAAGATATGGTCTTAGCAGACAAATCTTATGCTTTAGTTAATTTTGAAATTACTAACTTCTGTAGATTTGTTACTGCTTTGGTTTCAAATCCAGTACAGTTGATGGTCTCATTATCTGCAATGAGCAGTTGGGTAAGGGTGTCGTTCAAGAGAATCTAAATGGCAGTTCAACTGATAACAAGAAGCCTATGGAGTCATCAAAAAGGAGTTCTATATTGAGTTCCAATTCCCCATTTGTTGAAGGGCATCCCTTCGCCACCACGTTGTGGGCTGGGATAGAAGGATTCCACATGACAGTTAATGGGAGGCACACGACTTCCTACTTTTATCGGGATGTAAGAGATCTCTGAATCACCCCTCATTTGCAAAATAGTGAAATCTCACTTTTTAATGCTACATGTGATTTTTCCCCCCTTTCCAGAGGCTTGAGCCTTGGTTAGTTAACAAAATAAGGGTGGAAGGAGATCTGGATCTCATGTCAATCCTTGTGACTGGCCTGCCGGCATCTGAGGATCTTGATTTAAATGGCGATGTTCAGAGTCTAAAGGCTCCTCTGCTTCCTAAGAAAAGGTTGTTAATGCTTGTTGGGATTTCCTCAGCTGCGAATAATTTTGATCGACGGATGGCATTGAGGAGGTCATGGATGCAGTACGAAGCAGTTCGCTCGGGGGATGTTGCTGTTCGTTTCCTCACTGGTCTTGTAAGTAAAATGGTTTTAGTTTCGAAGTATTGCAGTTGTGTATCTATTAATAGGTACTTCAGTGTCTTAACAAATGAGTGTGTTTTGGTTGATATTACTCTGATTCTTGTTCATGCAGCTAGTTATATATTTTTTACAAGCAATTAATCAAGTTGGCACAAGTTTAATTATTGTGTTTCCTCAGTATTTGGTTTGCTCAAAGAAATAGAATAGAGGTTCCTACTCTTTATTTGCAACGCACACAAGTCGTGACTATCTGGAATATTCACATCATATATAAAAGTAGTCAAAGATTGAGCTCGCTTTAATGAAGTATGGTACTTATACAATTTGCTTATTTCAAAACTTGTCACATGAACTTTTTCACTGGATGTAATACTGATTTCGCTACTCCTGGAAGTTTGAATCGTGAAATATACTTTTGTTTACTCTCGTTCTATGACGGGCTGGAGATTATGTCATATTTGCTTGCCTTTGTGTTTATTGACTGACGTGTACTATGCTACTAATTATACTTGTATTCATTTGTACTTAATGATTCTAGTTTCTAAGACAACACTACTGCCTTGTATTTGTTCTCAATCTTAAGCACAAGAATAAGCAAGTCAATTTGGAAGTGTGGGAAGAAGCTCAGATTTACGGTGACATCCAGCTGATGCCTTTTGTTGACTACTACAGCTTGATCACTTTGAAGACAGTAGCTGTTTGCATTCTTGGGGTAGGAGCATCCATCACTAATTTTTCAAAAATTTCAAGATTCCTCCGCACATTTAATTATTTGCGATTTTCATTCATCCCATTTATATAGAGGTATCGTTCTTTTTATATATAATTTTGCAGACCAAGGTTATCCCAGCCAAGTATATTATGAAAACAGACGATGATGCTTTTGTCAGGATTGATGAAGTACTGTCTAGTCTCAAGAAAAGTGCTCCCAAAGGGCTTTTATACGGTCTCATCGCCTTTGAATCATCCCCTGATAGAGATAATGATAGCAAATGGTTCGTCAGCCAAGAGGTAGCTATTCTTCTGAAGAAATCTAATTTCAAGGTCATGAATTTCTTCCAACTAAACATGATGATGAATTACTTGTATTATTTTGATACCAAGGAATGGCCACATGATATGTATCCCCCTTGGGCTCATGGCCCTGGATACATCATCTCGAGAGACATTGCTAAGTTTATTGTTCAAGGACACCGAGAACGAAATCTTAAGGTGAGATTTTGCTATTTCATTCTTTTTCTTATTTCTAACACCTCAATTCTCTTCCATAACCTAGTTAAGTGCATGCCCGAGATAGCATACTGCATTCTTCCACTGTTGTTTTTGGGATAAAACTCATGTTAAGTCAGGGTCTTTTATTTGTACAGTGTACCAGCTTGGATTAATAGTTGATAAATATGATTGTACAAATGAATCTGAAAAATATAGTTATCTATGTGATGTGATATTTATATGTGAACTATATACTACACGAGAAACACTCGAACTATTAGAAACACAGCACACATCTATATTCTATAAAATGAGTTTAAATTACAAATTAATGATCCACCATTCAATATAGATAGGGTATATAACATCAACCTCCTTATTGATCAATTACAAATGTCTCAGATACAGTAAATGCTTAGGTATCCCTACTGCTTGTTATTATGCCTTTAGAGCGATAAAACCTTAATGATGCATATAATCTGTAAGTTTCCTGTTGCATTTTCTTCAGTTGTTCAAACTAGAAGATGTGGCAATGGCATTTGTGCATTCATAGGAATACAAGAAGAGCGAGTTCAAGAGGTTAACTACAGTGAATGATTTGATCGATTCAATAACGTGGGTGCTGAATCAGATTTATGTGCTGGCTCATATAGGCCTAGGGTTGCTCTGCTAGCGCTTTGGGAGAAACTTCAGAGAGAGCAAGAGGCCATCATGTGTTGAATTAGTTTTTTGTGCCTGAATTCAAATCTCTCCTCTCTCTCTTCTCTCTTCTTCTCTCTCAATATATATATTATATTTATATTTTATATTATATTACTATATGGAGGAATATGGAGGAACTTTATACCAAGCACAAGTTTTTGTGCTTGGTAGTGAGGTAGCACATTCTCATCCATTCATTCAAATAGAAGACCATATTCACGTGGGTTGGAGAATGGATGAGATTGTGTCACCTCACTACCAATTACAAAAAATTTGTGTTTGATACCAAGTTCCTATATTTTTCTCATGTGGATTGCATCTAAGGAAGCGCCTACGTGGCGGCGTCTTAGCCCTTCATCTTGACAAAATCCCTACCCTAATCTCAACTTTACCCTTGCTTCTTGATTCTCACGAATCAGAAATTTCTCACGCTACTACATGTATTTTATTTTGTATGTTGTGCAACATTAGCTTAAAATGTCAAGGTGGCATTTGTTATATTAGTTGTATGTAGAGAGTTCTGATTGTTGTTATATCAGTTATAGATTGGCATTTGTTATATTTTTTGTATGTAGAGAGTTTTGATTTTTGTTATATCAGTTATAGATTTAACATATACTATTTTGAAAATTAAATTATTATAAAGCTTGGGACTGTTCTACAATTGAAAGCATGACATGTGAAACACTGATTAATATTTGAGTTAGTAGTTGGTGATGGTTCTAACTGTTTTATTGTGTCAATGTTTCATTTTGTTGAAAGTTTATGTGATAAAGAATTTTGTTTTACTGTGTCGTGATGATTACGTCATGGTGGGATGAAGTTCAGTTTCAGATGGTATTTAAGGATTCATCAACATATTGCTTTTCCATGAAAATTAGCATTACTACAACAAAACCAATTATAAAGCATGGGAGGTCATTAAAATTATGGGAAAATTGCTTCTAGGCCCCAAATTTGAACTTTCAATGTGCCCTAACCCCTCCTATTTTTTTTTTAATGTGCTTTAGCCCTTTTTTTTGAAAAAAATATGCCCAATGCCCCTTCATCATGATTTCAACTCATGCCAGTAGTTGATTAGACATGCCATCTCATGATTAGACATGTCAGCTGGTTTAAATCCTAAATTTACATGCCATCTCATGATTAGACATGTCAGCTGGCTTAAATCCTAAATTTACTCTTCTTTTTCTCATGTCAACGGATGTTAACTCTTACAGCTAACATGTTAACTCTTACAGGCTACAGCTAACATATTAACTCTTACAGCTAACATGTTAACTCTTACAGCTAACATGTTAAATCCTAAATTTACCCTCCTTTTTCTCATGCCAGCGGATGTTAACTCTTACAGCTAACATGTTAACTCTTACAGATCACATGTTAACTCTTACAGGCTACAACTTACATGTTAACTCTTACAGGTTACAACTAACATGTTAACTCTTACAGCTAACATGTTAACTCTTACAGGTAATATGTTATCTCTTACAGGTAACATATTAACTCTTACTAATGTGCCCACGTGAAGTTCCTCAGGACGGCGCAGGCTGAGGAACATGGGAGGGGGCAGAGGGGGATCGGAGGAGGAGGGAGGTGTAGGGGGGTGTAGGGGGGAGTGTGCAGCGGTGGTGGGAGGCTGGGAGGGGATGCGAGGCGCGATGTGGACGGGGCGATTGGGAGTGCAACGTGGGAGTGAGTGGGGTGGGGAGGGAAGTGGCGGGGAGGCTGGGAGGTGGCGTGGAGAGGGCGAAGGAGGCGGCGTGTGGTAGGGAGTTGGGCCGGCTGGGGAAGGGTGAGGGGAAGCGGCGTGGGGAGGGAAACAGCTTGTGGAAGGGCGAGGGAGGCGCATGGCGGCGGGTGGGCGAGGGAGGCGAGGGGGTGAGGGGGAAGGAGCGGCAGTGGGGGAGGGAGGTGGGGAGGGGAGGAGACGGTGTAATATGGAGGGGAGGGAGGCGGCGTGTGGTGGAGAGCTGCGGTAGCTGGGGAGGGGGCCGGCGTGGGGGAGGCGGGGGAGGTTGGCGTGAGTAGGGAGGTGGGGGGCGGTGGGAGGGAGGTGGCGCGGGGGAAGGGGCAAAGGGGATCGACAAAGGGGGAGGAGGAGGGAGGTGAAGGGAGGGCAAAATCGCGGATTTTTGGACTGTTCGAAGGGTTTGAACGTATTTTTTTTAAAAAGGAGTGGCCTGCCAGCCACATTAGGGAAAGTAAGGGGGGGCTGCAGCATAATAGAAATTGAGTTTTGGGGTTTTGAAGCAATTTTCCCTAAAATTAGACATAATGAAATATGCTTAATACGGTCAATATCAATGAATGTTTATAAGTTCACAGCAAAAGTAATTTCCAAATAGATCAAATATAGAAAGATTTAATATTTTGGACTTTATTTTACATTTACACGCATCTTTTTTCAAAGATCTGATACCGTTGTGTTGAACCCAAACAGTTAATGCAATTAAAAAAATCCAAGTAGAGTTCGTCATTCTTGAATTTGAATCCTTGTTGAATAGTTCAACAAGCTTTTCATGTTGATATTCAGATGTTATATTCATATCTGTGTAGCTTAACAATCTACCTGCGAAAGTTAACATGTTATTTGTGTAACTCAACAAGCTACCAAGAAAAGTTAACATGCTACCTGTGTAACTTAACAATCTAACAGAATAACTTAACAAGCTAACAAAAATATTTCAATAGTTAATGACATATATAAGTATTTCAATAGTTAATAGGACAAATTTGTGCATCATTTTTATATCACATTTGCATTATAGTTCACATCCCTACAAAAGTATTTCGGTTCATATACACATCTACTACATACATACAAAAGTATTTAGCGATTACATACACCCAAAAGTATTTCAGTTCATACATACAAAAGTGTTTCATATCCTAACTCATATTAATCGGTGATCGGTTCGTTGCAAGTTGCTCGGTTGTGGCGATCGGTTCGTTATAAAAGTGTTTTACATTCCTGCTCTTCCCTTTGCCCCTCCTCATCCCTCCAACTATCCTGCTCCAGCGACGGGCCCCACCCTCTACTGTTGATCACCGGCCATCTCCGAGTCCGATATACCATCCGACACAGATCTGAAACCCAATAACCCGATAAGCATCATCTACCGCTCTTTGACTTCATCCTCATCGCCATTTTCTTCACTGAGTTGGATAGTAGATAAAATTCAACGTTTCACACACACACACCAAAATCCTACAACAATTGCGGCACAAACAAACTCACACACAAACACAAACACACCCCCTCTTAATTATTTTGACGATCAACCAAATCACACCCCAAACCATTCCTCCTCGCCAAGCTCTCTCTCTATACGTGTACCTCAAAAACTCCACCACAATATCCAAATACCCCTTCTCCGCCACAATGAATAGCGTCGTCGCCACCATCTCATTCAACTCGCTCACCATCGCCGACCTGATGGTCGCCACCTCTGCGTCAAACTCTACGGTGTAGGTGGTGCACCATTGGGGTAGGGAGGCTTCGTAACATGATGTGGGTGGTGTAACGTTAGAGGCGGAGCGTCGACCAAAGGCTGATGTGGCATTTCAAAGATTGGGAGGTGCAAGGGTTGAGCGTGTTGTTCAGTCATTAGGTCGAACATGTGGCGTGCAATTAGGCGGAGTGTATTGTGGTAGTGGTGGTGATAAATCAGCGAGGTTGGGGCTGAGGTTGGACGGACTTAGCTTGGATAGGGGAAGGGGTTGTTGTGTGCTTATAGGAGTTAGATCTGGAGTGGGTTGGGGAGTTGGCGGCTTCGTTGCCGGGGAGGCGTCTTCATCGTCGATGTCGTCGTTGATGTCCATAGCTAAAATCGCCGCAGAGCTCTCCGCGATGTCGTCCGTCGGCCCATTTCATCAGAAACACCCCAATAAGCCCGCGGATCTCCGCCGCGGGAGAGGGAGCCGGCGCCGCCACGGGGTCGGAGAGGAGGAGGAGAGGAGGAGAGAGTTGAGGGATGGGGCAGAGGGGGAGTGGAGGAGGAGAAGAAGAAAGAAGGAAAGTTGTTGAGGGTAAAGTTGGGATTTTGATGTAAAATGCATTGAAACTTGGGGAGAGATGAGCCGGAGTACAAATTTTTTAAAAATTAGGGGGTGCAGCACATAGGTAAAAAGTAAGAGGGGCTGGTTCACACTGATTTTTAAATGTTGGTGCTTAGAAGCAATTTTCCCATAAATTATTGCTCCGGGGTCTATCCGACCTCAGGAACCGAATCCAAACAGCAGGAACAAACGGTAATAATTAAAAAAAAAGGAAAAATTGAGAAGGACAAAAAAAACCCACCAGTTTCCTAATTTATCCAAATTAGTCCCTGAAATCTCGGCATCAAATCTCATCAAGGTTATATCTTTTTTCGGCCGTTGAACTCTCCGTCTTCCGCTGATTCGATTGACCCACGAATTTGTAGACTTCGAGTTGGTTTAGAGTGGTGGCGGGAGCTGAGATTATCCGTCAGAGCTTGACTGTGGCCGTCGACGCGGCTTGTTCGGCGGTGGTTCCGTCGGTGGCGATGGAATCTGGAGCGGTTGCGGTGGAGCTGGTGAGGTTCTTGGATCTTGATTGTAATTTTCTTTATCTAGTGCTTGTTTAGTTTATGATGAGACTATGTTTTCTTTTTTTAGGATAAAAACTTTTCTTTTTCTTTTATAATTGTTTTTGACCAAGAGTGAAAAATAGTACAAGATGAATCTAACATATTTATGTGCATAGTGATCTTGTTAAGGTTGGGCCATCTCTTCTGAGTCTTTTGCAGGATCCATCTTGTACGCCAAATTGTAAACCCAAACAAATTCCCTCGACTTTTTTTATGATACCTCCCAAACATAGAAATGTCTCCTGCGAAAATACTAGTTGCATGCGCATGACAAGAGGCCCAAGGCATGTGGCGAAGTGTTAAATAGTCTCCGGTATCATTTCGCAAGTAGTTTCAGGATTGCATAGGACATATGTTAATAATATTGAATATCCCGCTTGCCAAACCATACAAGGGGCAATTCGAGTCTTTGAACTGCGCCCCTGCCCTCCCCCCTAGACTCGTCACTATGCAGGATGTTCTGATGAAATTTGTGCTCAATGTTGAGGCCGTTAAAGCTTTTTGGAGAGCAGACATGGCCCAAATTAACCAAGTAAACTCCTCTC